GAAAAAAAATATATCAGTCAAGGGGAAGTAATTATCCCCCAGTGCGAATCCATGTTTTTTAAGGCCCATTATGCTACATAAATGTTTCTAATTTTCTGAGGCACAATGTGCCTTTAAGTAAATATATATAGGCTCATTATCGACACAGACTTTAAAGGTAGAGATATTTTATTTTAACTAATTAACTGATGAGTTTTTATGCACATGTGGAATCAGTACCAAAAATCTACATACAAATAATCATGGTCAAATATAGAACATGTAAACATCATAGCAAACGCATATACAATTCTGCGTGCAGCGAGGGAAAAAAATTCAACTTCAACGTAGATCTATATAGTGTATAATTAAATGATTCATTGTAATTCTAACAAGGAAAAAAACAAAAACAACAACAACATTTTGAACTACAGTGTACAAAACATGAACAGTGATTCTTGAATTCTTAATATCAAAATGATATTTATTTTAAGATTTTTAACATTAAGTGTCGTCTGCATATAAATTTGTCGTCTGCTTCATAATTATGTTATCGTTTTATACAAAAATAGAATATATTTTGAAAGTTAAGACTGATAGATATCCGGATACATAAAACAGTCAATGAGTTCAATATTATGATATATTGTTAAAGTTTTTATTTACATAAGATTCTCATTAAACATATTTGATATAGTACACGTGTACTCATGATTTTAAATATGCGATATCTTTACTACATAGTATTCATGTTATAATTTTTTACTTATTAACTTTTAAATCATAATTTTAAAGTCAATTTTAAATACAAAAACACAGCATATACATAAACATATTTCGTCATCTAAAAAGTGTAATAGTCATTTACAGCTGAAATTTATTATCTTATAATTGTACATTTTCATTGTTTATAGTCATGGACATTGTCACTTTGTCTGCGTACCTACTTTCCTGTTCTATCTTACGTTTCTCCGGCCAGTCTTTCCGTAACCAGTACGCAAAGTCACGTTGTTTGATTTGGAAAGTTCGGTTCTCAAGTTTGCCGTTTTTTCCTGGAGCCCTTTTACTGACGAAGATTTTTCCGTTTGAATACCAAACATCGTCTACTTCTTTATCTCTATCCTTGAGTCTAATAGACTGTAAAACTTGTTGATTAAGCCTGGTTAAGTCATGACTTATCGACATTCCTGAATTTTTCAACTCCTTCACATTTTTCATAACTGTTCCCTTTACTTCCCTGCGAACAAACTGCACTATCGTTGGTCTGGTTCTACCCGGTAGATATCGGCCCAGTCTGTGAGCGATACTGATATCATTCATTGTGAGGTTGATTTTCAGCTGATTATTCAATTCAGTAACTACCAGTTCAGCTGTCATGCTCGATGTCTGTTTGGGATCGTCGTCTTTGAGGCCATATAAACGAATATTGTTCATTCTACTGTATTGTTCTGCGTCGTTTTGCGCCCCTTCATTGTAATTAATTTCTCTGTTAAGTCTATCTCTCATTGTTTGGTTATTTTCTTTCAGGGCTTGCATTTCTGAGTTTTGATTGACTATTTTTTTCTTTCAGTTTAGCACAGTCAGTTGCATTTTCTTTTAAAAGATTTATTTCTTTTGTTTTTCCCTTTAATTCATTGTGTAATTTATCATTTTGTACTGCCAACTCATGAATTTCTCCCTCTAGAACCCCAACTCTTTGCTCCACACTTTCTAAGATAGCCTTTTTCATTTCATTCACCGTCTCTTTAATGAGATCTTTTATCCAAGATTGATCAGATTTTCTCAGGACATCATTTAGTTTTGTATTTATTTCTTCTAAAGTTTTTTCCATTTTCTCAATTTTCTGATATGGGGGGTTTTGGGGATTTTTTTTCCAAGAAATCAGTCATTGTTTTTTGTGTTTTGGGATCAGAGTCTTTATGTTGCTGCATTTGCTTTTCGGACTTTTTCTTTTTCTTTTTTTGTTTATTAAGCAACGATGTTTCAAGTGCACTTGCACTAGTGTCTAATTCGCTAGTCGTTGAAGAGTATGCCCTTTTCTTTTGATCACTCATCGTAGTACTGTGTATACTATGTACATTGGTTTATTTAATGTCCCGCTATACTGGATTTACCGGTAATTGGCCGCGCCACTGGAGCGTGACGGATTTTTGATCATATGTTCACCAAACAATTTGAATTTTCCAATACTATCACCCCACCCGCTTCTGAATGGGTGAAGCGAAAAGTTTTTGACTACTAAAAGCACATTTCACAATTTCAATTTAAAAATGTTTTTACCAAAATAGTGTCCGAAAATTGGACCAATATACCCGTTACTATTTTAACCGATCATCCCCTCTATATGGTCCTATTTCACAAATTTTCTCTCTATCTCATTTTTGTGTTTACACTTTTTTCAAACCGGAAGTTGACTTTCAATTTTACTTGTTATCTAATTTATTTTGCTTCGACCAGACGTTTCAATCTTTGTCGCAACAGACAAACATTTCAGACATGGCATTACTTTGTGAATTTCTGCATTAGGGTATATTTTTTCACAAAAATATGCAACTTAATTATTAAACAACGAGCACATACCAAGAACATGGAGAAAAAATTGATTTGTGCTTCGGATATTCAACTGTAATAGAGAACGATTTTCAATGCTGATTGACTGTTCAAATCATTTGGCGGCGTCTTTCATGTGCAGCATCAACATTTAACTTGTCCTATCTATTTGGTATTTTATAATTTTAGCATGTTCAGACAGGCAGAACTTTATTTAATTTACATATCAGAATGAATAATTACCACAGTGTTAATTTACATGATGCATCAACCCATCCACTTTTATGTTATGTAATATTCTCCCTTTTCTGGACATATGTTGTATATTTATACCCCCGCACAACAAAGTTGTAAGGGGGGGTATACTGGAATCAGCTTGTCCGTCCGTCCGGCTGTCCGTCCGGCCGTCCGTCCGTCCGGCCGTCCGTCCGTCGGTTTTTTCTTGTCCGCCCAATAACTTAAGATTCCTTTGACCCTTAGTCTTCATATTTGGCATGGAGGTTAGTCATGATTAGTAGATGACCCCTATTGATTTTGAGGTCACTAGGTCAAAGGTCAAGGTCACAGGGGCCTTGACTTCAAAAAGCTTGTCCGCCCAATAACTTAAGATTCCTTTGACCTACAGTCTTCATATTTGGCATGGAGGTTAGTCATGATAAGTAGATGACCCCTATTGATTTTGAGGCCACCAGGTCAAAGGTCAAGGTCACAGGGGCCTTGACTTCAAAAAGCTTGTCCGCCCAATAACTTAAGATTCCTTTGACCTACTGTCGTCATATTTGGCATGGAGGTTAGTCATGATTAGTAGATGACCCCTATTGATTTTGAGGTCACCAGGTCAAAGGTCAAGGTCACAGGGGCCTTGACTTAAAAAAAGCTTGTACGCCCAATAACGTAATAATCTTTTGGCGCACAGTCTTCATATTTGGTATTGAGATTGTTCATGATTAGTAGATGACCCCTATTGATTTTGAGGTCACAAGGTCAAAAGTCACTGGGGCCTTGACTAAAAAAAGGTTTTCCACCCAATAACTTGAGAATACTTTGACCTTCAGTCTTCATATTTTGCATGGAGGTCAGTCATGATAAGTAGATGACCCCTATTGATTTTGAGTCACCAGGTCAAAGGTCAAGGTCACAGGGGCCTTGACTTCAAAAAGCTTGTCCGCCCAATAACTTAAGATTCCTTTGACCTACTGTCGTCATATTTGGCATGGAGGTTAGTCATGATTAGTAGATGACCCCTATTGATTTTGAGGTCACCAGGTCAAAGGTCAAGGTCACCGGGGCCTTGACTTCAATAAGCTTGTCCGCCCAATAACTTAAGATTCCTTTGACCCAAAGTCTTCATATTTGGCATGGAGATTAATCATGATTAGTAGATGACCCCAATTGATTTTGAGGTCACCAGGTTAAAGGTCAAGGTCACAGGGACCTTGACTTCAAAAAGGTTGTCTGCCAAATAACTTAAGATTCCTTTGACCCACAGTCTTCATATTTGGCATGGAGGCTAGTCATGATAAGCATATGACCCCTATTGATTTTTAGGTCACCAGGTCAAAGGTCAAGGTCACAGGGGCCTTGACTTCAAAAAGCTTGTCCGCCCAATAACTTAAGATTCCTTTGACCCATAGTCTTCATATTTGGCATGGAGGTTAGTCATGATTAGTAGATGAACCCTATTGACTTTGAGGTCACCAGGTCAAAGGTCAAGATCACAGGGGCCTTGACCTCAAAAAGCTTGTCCGCCCTATAACTTAAGATTCCTTTGACCCACAGTCTTCATATTTGGCATGGAGACTAGTCATGATTAGTAGATGACCCCTATTGATTTTGAAGTCACCAGGTCAAAGGTCAAGGTCACAGGGACTTTGACTTCAAAAAGTTTATCTGCCCAATAACTTTAGATTCCTTTGACCCACAGTCTTCATATTTGGCATGGATGTTGATCATGATTAGTAGATGACCCCTTTTGATTTTGAGGTCACTGGATCAAAGGTCAAGGTCATAGGGACTTTGACTTCAAAAAGTTTGTCCAGCCATTAACTTAAGATTCCTTTGACCCACAGTCTTCATATTTGGCATGGATGTTGATCATGACTATAAGGTGACCCCTATTGATTTTGAGGTCACTGGTTCAAAGGTCAAGGTCACAGGGATCTTGACAAAAAAAAAGCTTTTCTTCTCAATTGCTAAAGAATGTCCTGTCCGCAATGTATTGATTTTGACATTTTCACATTTGAAGCATGTAGAATACATAACTTAGCAATGCACTGGCTTAGTAACCTCAGATTTGGCAGGGAGGTTGTCCTTGAGCTCTAAATGGCCACTGTTGATTCTGACAAAGTGGTATGCGGGGGTATTCACGCCATGATAGTGGCAGTTCTAGTTAATATTGTTTACATTCTACTATGACATCATCAATAAATTAAACAGTTTATGAAACACATGTGCTTTTGGGACGCATGTGTGTTCATCGACACATTTTTTTTCTTGTTTTTCAGAAGATATGCCATGCTGGGCAACTAGTCACGACTTTTGTGAAAAGTACCAATTAGTCTATTTACCGGAGTTCGATATAAGCGAGGATAAATTAGACGACAAAAAACCACCAATCAGGATTCGAGACTGGTAATAATCAAGTGAAATTAACCGTCATGTTTTATAAAAGAATAACAGTAACTTTACTATAAAAAGCGTTTATTATCAGGTAATTGAGTTCATGCAGCGATAACCAATTCCAATACCAATTTTGTGTCTTAAACTACAGTTTACAATTCTAATCAATGCTACAGTATGCTATAAGATCTTCCATGGCACAACAAAGTGAATTATTCCTATGAGGCCAAAGAAACTCTTTGTATTAGAAAAAGAAGGAAAAGTGTAATCTTTGTATGGCTTCATGATACTAAAAGTTATTTTAAAACTTTTATTCAAAGAATGATTGGGTTTTTTTGTGTTGTTTTCCAGGTATTGTGCCAGATCGGATTGTGGATGCGAGTACAAAATCAGTGTGCGTCTAATAGCAGACGACAAAGAAACGGAACTAGACGCTTGGAACTTTACTGATAACCGGGAAGAGGGATCTGATTGGATAAAAGTAATTATTTGATCAACCACTTTAAAATTTTATCTTTTTTCTTTACATGTGACATTATACCTGGCAGTTGCCTACAGCGACCACCTTGTATGTTAGGTCCATTATGCTCGTGTAGGTCCCGCAATTATTTAATACATGTACATAGAAATATGGATCTAGGCTAATGGTAATTTGTGTTCAAGTATACCTTAGTGCAAACTTTGAAAAAATCCCTGCGCTTGTTTAAATTTTCCTTCTTTGCCTTGATAAAAAAGTTACCAAAATTGCTAGACAGAGTTCTTCTTCCTTAAAACGATTGCTGTAAAAAATGATTGATTCAGAAAAAAAATGTTGGGAAATGTCACCTAATTCAACACAGTAAATCATGCTTTATTTTGTAACGATAACTTTTGTATTTAAGGTGAAGCACGTGTTCAAAGGCTATCCGTCAGGTGTCCGATATGTAGAGTTTAAACACGGTGGACAAGATACCAAAAACTGGGCTGGACATTTCGGCGCCAAAATGACTAACTCTGGCGTATTTGTAGGAAAGAAAAGAAGCAACAAAAAGAAAAGGGTGAGGCTGAATTATTTTGAAATGATGTGTTTTTTCAATAACTGGATAATCTTGAAAGGCATTTGTACTTATATATTTGCCTTTTTTGTCTTAGAATATTTTTGAAAAAAATCGTTTAAGGTTTTCTCTTCAAACTTGAAATATTTCTTGACTATCAAAGGCAGTTTGGTCTGCCAAGCATGTTAGCAGAATTACATCCCCCATTTTCTGTGTTGCTTTGAATTAACTATCTACCACTGAAGAAAATGGGAGCGCGCTGTCCGCGGACAAATCTTTATTTAAAACAGCATAGGAATTGTCATGGTTTACCATAGTTGTCTACCTTTTATTTATTACTTATAGATTATATGAACGTTTTGAAACGTAGGCTGTCTCCCCTTTGTATAATTTCTGCTGGGTGCATTTCCAGTGGCCCCGATTTGTTGGGTATTGTCGAAGCTGAGTCTGTGAATGTCGCTTTCCTTTGTTGAACATTGACCTGATATTTTATGAAATATTTTCAGTTGAATTGCTGACACAAAATATTATGTGAATGGACATACATCTTTTGCACTTTTTTCAAGGATTTTAAATAGAGGCGAATATTTTAAAATTACAGCTGTAATATGCTGAAAGATTGTTTACTCAAAATCACTGCATACTTATTTAAATGTGAAACAGGTAGAAATATACAAGTTATACAAAACAAATTTTAAATAATGATAATAATTTATTGAATCATAGAAAAAACAACATTTTATAGAATATACAGCTGCTCAACACTAAATGATGTTGCAAAGATGTTTAAGCGTTTGAGGTTAACTTGGCTTTATAATTATAATATACATGTATTTTATTGAACAATTAATTGATTTTCTTGCAGGCTGTCAGAGAGAAACTTGGCAAAAATTTACTCAAGAATCCATGTGCCTCTTGTAAGATCAATTGTTTTTGACTCTTGAAACAATTTTGTAGTTTCAAAGCATATTATGTTTTAATTTTCTTCTTGATGGTTATGTGTATCAAGAATATTAACATTCCCCGAAAAAAGAGTGTCTTTTTAATCCATGTGCTGTACTTTACTAGTTTATTCTTTCTATTTTTTTTGGTAAAGATGAAAAATAAAAGCAAAAACACCCAAAAATATAATGATGATAAATGCATTTTTCAGAAAAATCAATTTGCCCCTCGCTGAATATGCTGAATATAGAAATTTAATAAAAAAAATCAAAATAACGTTTTCTTTTTGGGAATCTATTGTTATAATTGGAAGACTGCGAAAACTGTTCCTATAGCCATGTAAATGCATATTTATTTAAAAAATAAATTGTAAGGTTATGATACTGTCTTCTTTTCCAAATGCGATGTCGTTATTATTCTTCAAAGACTTAATTATATTGATGTTGAAATTTTATAGCGGAATTGGAGGGCTGGGAAATTGTTAGCAATGGCGGAGATGGGTGGTGCTGTGAGGCGGAGCCAGCGGGATGTAAGCCAATCAAAGAGGTCAACGAAGACGCAGAAGGTGCTTAAAATATTTATTAATATTTGGTGATTGTTTGGTAGATGTTTCAAGAGAAAGCATAATTATACTATTTACCTTCCATAGACTATTTTGACCTTGCCTGTTGGCATGCATTCAATTGGCGCCATCAGATAATGGTCTGTACTGTTCACTATTAACTTTTCCCTTAAAATGATGAATCGCATTTTCTACTAGTATATTGAAAGATGGACAATTTCATTTAAGATATTTAGAGTAGTAAGTGTTACAAAAATAAAGAAAGAGTTGCAAGTACTGCATTTTACCTTCTTCTGCACCTTTTTGTGTTTTAGAAGATTAGACACACATATGATTAGCTAACATTTCTTTAAGAAAAATACCAAAACATTTAAAACTTTTAATATTCTTTAATACTAGACCATACAGTCTACCCATAAAAAAAACTATGACATTTCTCTATAGGGCTTTCTTTAACTTTTTTTTCCAAATCAGTAAAACACACTTTCGCCATCAGTAAAACGTCTTGTTTATTTTTTGAAGCAAAGGATAGTGGAAATTTTGTGGAAATAAACTTAGTCTCTCCTTAAAGTTCTTTATGGTCATTAGCGGAGATATTGGTAATGACTGGTTAGGTATCCTGGAAAAAACGGCTTTGCGGAAGGACCAAAAAATTTAGTGCCTACTGTATTAACCAGAGGTAACTTTATGATTTTTAACATCTTGAAATATATTATGTATAGGTGAGTCGTGTTGGTCAACATCTCACCAGGAATGTGAGAAAAAGCAAGTCATTGACCTAGGATTTGAAGGGTTTGATTCTCACTACATGGACGAGAGCAGGCCGGAAATCAAAGTGAGCGAATGGTATGATCTAGAATCATTTTTTTGAATTACATACTGTATAGTTGATCACTGTATCCAATCAGAGTGAATATAACATACCTATATAACCTAATATTTTGGTTAGATATCCCTAAGTTAATATTTATTACATAATTATTGAAAGAGGCAAAGCTTTGCACATCGTGTAGGAAATTGTTTATTCTACTAATTCCAAATGAAGTAGGCACCAGGTACAATTCAACAATTTATATTTTATCCTTCCTAAATACCTTGTAACTTGAAAGAAATATAGATTTTCCTTCTATGATCACTTGTTCTTTTATGTCATTCTAAAAACATGTTATATAAATAAGTCTCATGTATTGTCTCAGTCCATTTAGACGTATAAACCAAGTGTTGTTCTGTACATGCAGGTTTGGGTCTCGTGGCGACGCGGGTTGTTCGTACTGGTTGAAGGTTCGTCTGCTAAATTCCGACATGGAGACGGTTGATGAAAGGGAAGTGAAAGAAACAAAGGACGCTGAGGGTGACTGGTACAAGGTAATCTTAATTGTGAAGATAACATTGTTAGTAGAAACAATTGATAACATTGTATCATTAAACTAATTTCTATTCATGTTAATCTGAATCTGAAAATATTGTAAGAAAATCTAATCAAGATATTAAGCAAATGGTATATGATATTATTTACTGCTACTGCGTGACTAACCAGTAAGAGTTGTTTTTTAGTTTTGTTTTTTTTTCTTGTTCCTTTTTGCATGTTCTAGCCTCTTTTTAGTAATTCTTTGTGGATTGTAATGTTTAAGTTACTGTCTTTGTTCACTTTACAATATTGTACTTGTTTTACATTTTCAAACTTTTCATGAAAATAAGCATGAATCTGGAGGCATTATGAACATGTTTTATACGAGTAGTTAATGAAATTGTGCATGGGGGCGACCCAACTTAGCACCATCAAACTGAATTTGCAAAGGAAAAAACCTTGAATGAAAATATTTCTATTTGTCAAAAACAAATTAAGTATCCGATTTAAACTTTAAATCCTTGTATATGTGGCTCATGAAAACTTTCATGTATAATGTCTGAATTATGATTATCTTATAAAATAAATTCTGCTTAATGCATCTAAATGTATATCATATTTTCAGGTGGAGGAAAACTTCACAGGCTATGGTCCAGGTGTCAGGTTCATTGAATACTCGCATGGCGGCAGTGATACTTGCAGTTGGGCGGGACATTTTGGCGCCAAAATTACATGTTCGTTTGTTGGAGTAGTTGCCGAGGCAGAATCATCATCTTCTTCTTCGTCGTCATCATCATCATCATCATCAGATGAAAATTAAGGAGTTACTGGTGCTTGTGTAATAATTCATTGACAAATGATTGGAAATATATAGATCTATTTACTGTCTTATATTTACTTTCTACAATCAACAAGTATCGGAAATATAAACTGTATGATCCTTTGCTTTACATGTAGGCCTATATTTGTTCATTTTGAAACTTAATCAGCTTTCAGCTTTACTTCAAATATTATGAAATAGACATGATATATTGCCTTTGCACAGTTATTAGTATACGAGACTATTTCTTGAATATTAACTATATAGTTTTGAGTTTTTCTCTTAACAAGATATTATTCTTTCAGTATTTTGATCTTTATTGTATTCTTCATTATATAAATATGACAAAATAAAGTACAACTTTCTCTTGTTGAATCAATAATGTGTTCACGTATAGACTTTAGGTGCTCAAATGTATCCCACTGTGAAAAGATTATACATGTGTAGACATCCCTAAAATTAGAAAATGGTTTAAGTCGCACCATATGGCAGCTTCACTGGTGGAGGTAAACCTTAAGAATCCCTCATTGCATTGTTTCAGTCACGCGCGAGTACCTGAGTGGAGCCATCGCCGTTCCGTTAGCTGGTTGAATAGCTTTTTCACATGAAAGAATAAAAAGAACCAGGCGGGATTTGAATCCACAACGGTGAATGGCCGTGATTTCTCTCATGGCCACGGACGCTTATCCCTGACAAACGTTGTAAAATATGCAGAGGGAATAAACTAATGTATAAAAATTACATACCCTGAAATTTCAAATGGCACGATAAAATGAGTTTTAAAAGACAAAAATCCTGTAATATGCCAAACAAGTTAACTTAAGTGACCTACCCTAAATTGTCTGTGACGTTTATCCTGCAAGTGAAAAAACTGTCACTATAACAAAACAGTTAAACTTCCAGAGTCAAAAAGATAAAGGGAGAGAAATGAAGTTGATTGACCTCATTAGGAAAGTGGACCAAAGATAAGAAAATCTAAATATACTCAAACTTACATCAACAGCTTAACCTCCCCTGAAAATTGCAACAGCTTGATAGCCAGAAAAGGGGGTGGGGTCGAAGGTGAGGATCTGCTGTAAGTGTCGATGCGGAAAGACGGGCAGGGGCTGGTGAGGAGAGCAAATGGGTGAAATGAATATCTCGATGTTGTGATTGGCGTTCACTGCAAAGAAAATTACACAAGGCGTCAGGATGTGGATCAAATAAGGGGAAGAATATCCCGTAAAACATAATTATATGACCTGCTTGTGATTTCAATATGCCCCCTTTCCGTAAGCCTTCTGAATACAAGTCGAGATGTTCCAACTGAAAAAGGCGTTGAAAAGCTTCTCAAAGTTTGAAGAATTACAAGATAATCTAGTTTTCCTGACAATCTAGCGATAAACAGAAACAGACAAACTACAAAACAACCTTCATAAACTAGAGAGGTTTGTGAACAAGACTGGGCTTTTGAGTTCAACATCGACAAGTGGAAAGTGGTTAAGATTACCCGAAAAAAGGAACATTACATCTTACCGTAAATTCTCAAAATCAGGCAAAACTGCCAAGGAACCTTGTTACCATCGCTAAATACCTTAACTGAACAAGCTATAGAAATAATATATCTCAAAGACAAAACAACAAATAAACAAACAAAAACAACTCCCTATCATTTATTCAGATTTGTTCAATTATACAGCACCCTTGGCATATAACATACTAATCGAAAGTGTACAAAGAGCTTCAGCTGGATAAGTTTGCAATAATTATGACTTCAATAGCAGTGTGACACAATTGTTTAATAATCTTGGTTGGTCTTCCATAGAAAGCCACAGTCCCCCATGAAAGGGAGTTCCGTTACAAAATATACGGTATCATTTCGCTATGTTAATCACGACTACTTCATACTTACAAAATTTTCTCATATCCAATATCATCTTTATCCCTATTTACCAAGAAGACTAAGGTATTTATTAGTTCATTAGAAATAACGCCCATACCGGATCAAATCCAGTCCCAGTCTAAATATCTTCAAGGGTAGGCAAGTGCCAGCTTCTTTTTCCACGTGTATGCTTTTATTTTGAATCTTCCACACTTAGGTCTGTGAGCTGTCATCTGAAAAACTCAGAACATAACTATTTTTAACAGTTTTCCTGACAAAGCGCCTACCATTTATGATCAGAATTAATGTTGATGTTCTTCAAGTAATAATGGGTTAAAAGTAGCGTCGAATGCATCAAAACGTGGAGGAAAAGTGATGGAATTCTATTGGTTTAACTTAAAACCAAGGCGACGAACTCTTACAGTGTCAAAATCAGTAATGAGTTAAGAAGGGCACACTAAAAAAGAAAAAAGATTTGTTGATTCCTCAAAATTCAAACATTCTTATTCAATGTTATTTAATACTTGATATAGTTCATGAGTTAAATTAGGTCATAATGCCATTCGATATTCACAGATACATAAAGTTTTACACAATATATATCCAGGCCTAATTTTTCAAACACAAAACATATTATTTGACTTGAAATAAACTAAAACCCTTTGTTGGTTAAGTGATAAAAGGAGCTCATATGAGGTCAATAGCCTAAAAACATAACATTTGTTTTGACGGTTTTTGCACGAGCTGTTTGGCACCGTATTGTGACGTTGATATCGCTTTAATAACTGACAGGTGATATTAAACTGTTTGCATTATTGAAATAGCTAGACCATTTTCTATCATTGTAAAAAAAATGTCAGTGCAAAACAAAAAAAAAATGTTGTTTTTTATTTTTCCATTTTTTGAAACAAAATGGCGCCGTCAATGTGTCGGTTTGCCAATACGGAGGGAGGAAATAAGAACGACGATGGTATCTTTTGTGAAATAAATCACGCTTCCGACCTTCTTAGGGAAATCTTCGATAATGTTAAACTTTTAATTATATGACGCACGCTTTTCCAATCAGAGCTGTGCAGTTTTAAAACAGTGCGCATAAGCAAAAACAATTCGTAACTGTACTAAAATAATAAAATTTCACAGCAATGATGACGGTATTTCGCAGTAAAGATTCATTTTTATAGCGTAAAGATTCAGTGATAAACTTGCTCTGGTAAATTTGAACTCCTTATTAAGCACTTAGCTCAATCGTTTTTAAGTATAATAGGAAAGAGAGTTTCAAGTTGACAAATGAGCCGCGTCACGACAAAACCAACATAGTGGGTTTGCAACCAGCATGGATCCAGACCAGCCTGCGCATCCATGCTATTTGCTTACCAACTCTATTACAAGTGGAGAACAGCATGGATCCTGATCAGATGCGCAGGCTGCTCTGGATACATGCTGGTCGCAAACCCACTATGTTGGTTTTGTCATGACACGGCTCAAATCTATTTTCATCCCATAAAACGACACTTGATACATTGTCCTCGCACCAGACAACAATTTCAGGGCAAAGTTAAACTATTTAAAGTCATATACACTTTTCATCGTAATTTTATTTTCAGTGTCAAGATGTTTTCCAAGTTATGTAACATGTCGCGGCTATATACATATTAGAATAAACATTTTAATATGAATGGAATAAGGAAAATATCTCATCACATGGATATCATTGTTGAACATAACGGACACTCCAAATATAAGATTATATAATTGAGAAAATTGTTATGTGCAGTGGATGTGCACGTCAGACACTTGAAGTTGTTGAATCTGTCTTGCTTAAGAAATATGTGTCAATATTTTGCGTTGTTATTCGAGGCATACTCTATCAAATCGTTGAAATACCGTAATTCATGCTAATATAAGTGAAAGTCTGGGTTTTTATTTCGTGAGATAAAATCCATATCATTCAGAGTATATCACTCATAGTGTTGTTAACAAAGCTTTTCCTAATCTTTTGCGGCCAACGTATTAATTATCATTCCGTAAATTTCCTTACAAATGCATTCCGTTTATTTTAGCCTTGCTCCGGTTTGTTATATTTGTACGTGTGTATGTAGTATTTGCCTGATGATGCCCATCCGTCTCTTAAGGCACAAAAAGCAGCTTTCGCTGTCGAGAACGGAGCCCGGATATGTCACCAGTCATGCCTTAGATGCACAATGTTGTGATAATTGACCTCCATGCAACTAGCCAAATGAATCAATTTCTAGCCAAAAAAGTCACTTATGCAACTGAGTTTATCACTTAGAAACCAATTGTCATTGAGCACTTTGTTGACACTTTGTTAGAAGTTATGTTATATACGGGGAGGAACTGTTACACGATGGATGGAGTTCTTAAGATAACTTGTCAGGAGTTCTTGTGATAACTGTAACAGAGTTCGTCGGAAAATTTTGTATATACTACAAAAACACTCGTCAAATATGATAATTTTTATCTTTAAAAAGCCAGTTTTAGGTGCTAAAGTAAACTTTAATAATTAAGCTTTCTAAAATCTTGTATTATGTGTCAAAAACTTATTCATAGGTCATTTTTCGTCGCCTCTTGCTTAAAATCTGGTAGTTGTGAGTAAAATTTCCACATTATTTACCAATTCACATGTATGGACCTGTTTATTTCTGATCTTCATCCCTGCCATATTACTAGTATAATGCAAAATTGCGGACATAAGGCGCCGGCTTTCAAATTTATACCCGATTTTTCAAATGTCCTGGAGTTCTTGTAATAACTCTAAAGATGTCCTGGGGTTCTTATGATAACTTTTGTTACTGCCAGTGTGTTTCTTGCGCTATATCACGGCACGTTTAAGCGTTTTTTAAGAGCCCAAAAGAGAGGAAGCGAAGGTGGGTAAAATGTTCTCTTAATAAATACTAGCTCCTCATTTGAACCCGCTAGAACGCCTCAAGCCTATAGAAAGTTGTTTACAATACAATGGGTGGAGTTTAGGATTAATTTCAGGTTACACATTTTCAGTAAAAATCTTGGACGTGATATCAACCTGAGCCTTTATCTACATAATTATATTTTTCACGAGTGTTTGAGGACACTGTAGCAACGCTATATGTCGCAACGCCGCTATATGTCGCAACTAACGCTAAATGTCGCAACGCTGACGCTATATGTCGCAATCAACGCTATATGTCGCAATCGCCTACCGCTAAATGTCGCAACGTTGCCGCTATATGTCGCACAAAAATCGATTGCCGCTAAATGTCGCAACCCCTTGACGTTAAATGTCACACTTGGTAGGAAAGTAACAGATGGAACTGAAGTTAAAACATTTAAAGTTTATACCATTTACACATGAAAACATATCCTAGTAAGCAAACAAAAGTTGTATTTCGCGGTATATGGCAAAAACCTTGTATGGCCATAGAAACGGTTTTTGATAAAAGGGATGGATTTGGTTCTCAACCACGGACCAGGTGTCAGATCAAACTTTCTCTTTGAGGATGTCTTTCTCACAAAATGCATCAACA